TTTTATCTATTATTTTTTTAAAAATTCTGATAACTAGGCTGATTATAATAGTTTCTTTTTAAAAACCAATATATTATTTAGCTTTATAAGTTCTAGTTTTGTTTTTAAATTTAGTGTTTATAATAATATTATTAAAAGTGTAAGTTATCTTTCTATTTAGATCTTTTAAATAGGCTTTCATCTTTTTGGTTCCTATAATTTATATAGTTACAAGAACTTATTACAGATTCATACTGTTTAGTATTAGTTTATATTTCTTTGTACAAAGTACAACTATTATACAAATATCATATAATTTTTTAGTTATATTGGTATAATATAGGTAACAAGTATTTAATTCTAATTAATAATGAAAGATAATTAACTATAATACAAAAAGAATTTTAAATTTTTATTAACAGAGGATAGCAATTCTAGTATAGTAGTTGGGTTGTTATTTTCTAAGCAGTAGGCCTAGAGTTCAAATCTTATTAGCAATAGAAATTTAAACAATAGTCCTATTTTAGTAACTTGTATGAAGTATCTGAGGTTGTAATTCTGTAATTCTGATTGTACTAAAAATAATTTTGAAAGTATCAATGTTATATAAATAAATTTAGAAAATATATACTCTATAAAAAGCCTTGTTTGAAAATTCCAAGTAGAGAAGTAGTATGATTTTTAATGGTACTATTTATGAAAATCATGATTTAAAAACAAAAACTTAGACAGGTGATCTGTATAGGCAAGAACCTTAGGTAAAGAGATTTACCAACCTGGCTACTAGTTGAACTATATCAAAAAAATTTTAAAAGTAATATATATTATTAGTAATCTTTAGATTGCTGATAATATATAGTACCTTTGCCAAGTATTATCTTTAGTGATTAATAATAATATATAACAAAATTTTATTAAATTTTCTTAAACTTTAATTTTAGTTTTCTTGATAACTAGTAATTCAAATAAGGTAAAATTTTACTGTAAATAGTATATAAATTCAACTATATTATACTAAAATTTTAACTAATTTAGATTGATAGTTTTTAAGAAATCATTTATAAAAGATAGTTAATTTTTTTAAAAAATTTACTATTATTTACAAGTGATTTCTTAAGAACTATAAATCTAAATTAGTTAAAACTTTAGTATAATATAGTTGAATATATATACTATTTATAGTAAAAATTTTAACCAATTTGAATTACTAGTTATCGAAAAAAACTAAAATTAAAGTTTAAGAAAATTTAATAAAATTTATACAAATTATTACTTATTGATAATAATTATAATCATTTATAATCATTATATATCAATAATTGTTATATATTATTAGTGATATATATTGATATATAACAATTAATTAATATATATTAATTATTTTCAATTAATATATATTGATTTAATGTTATATATCAATATATATTTGCTTAAAAATTTTGCTAATATAAGTATAAAGTTACATCATACAAAGCTAACTGAATTGGTAGTATAGAAGAACTTGTATAAGTATACAAGATACTGGTAAGATTGTAAAGAGGAGTACTAAAGTTGTGTGAATTCTACAAGAACATAGTAGTTTAAGAATTACTCTGATTGCAAGTATTGGTCTTAGTTATAGCAATATCAGGTCAACTAGAAATTAGATAACAGAAGGCTCCAGTAGGTTTAATACAAGATTAAAGATTTTTTATATAAATGAACTACTTTAAAGACCTAGTAATTATAGTATATGTACACCAGTAAAAACTGAAGTAGTTGTTGAGTAAGTAGATAAGTAGATACAAGAACTAAAAATATTTAAATAAAGAACTCACAAGTGGGTTCTAAGTATAACAATTAGCATAGAACCTTTTGGGTGGACTACTTAAATTAGACAATAACTAAAGTTGTACAAGTGATTAATTGTACACTCTTTTTATGATTACTCTTTGTAGTTATTGTAATACAATTATAAAGCTGAAACATACTATTAATAAAAGCCTAAATCACAAGTACTTATCTTTAATATTAAAAAAAAAATTTCATTAATACTAAAAATTTGAGCTTTAGACTTGTTACTTGAGAATTGATAACATAATTACTTTACTATATTATCATATTTTTATATTAAATACTTTTGTTTAATTCTAAACTAAAAACTAAATAATAAATTATATTAAAAATAGTCTTTTTATTATTATTTAAAATCAAATATAAGGATAGTGATCCTAGTGCAGTAGTTGGGTTGTCATTCTTCAAGTGACAGGTCTAAGTTTCAAATTTCACCTACGATAAAATTTAAAAATTATATCTACATTATAGTAACTGTCTTCTGTCAATCAGTTGGCCTCATGCAGTTGTAATCCAGGTATACCAAGTCAGGTTCTATTAACATTGGAAGCTTAGGACATCTATATGAAGTGTAATATTACATGTATATAGAGGAATGTATAACTAATGTTATATAAAACTTTAGTATAAACCCATAATAAGACCACTAGACATAAAAGACTAAGGAACCAAGGTAATGGAAACTCACTTAAAAATTCCTGAGTAAAGAGGTAGCATAAATTTTTGATGGTATCATCAGATTGGTTAAATCCCACAAAACACCTTTATAGGAACTGAAGATTAAATTAAACATCAAATAAGTATAGAGGAGCACATAACCAATCAGGCTATCAGACTTACTGAAGAAAAAGAATACAAAAGTATATTATACTAGGTTATCTGGATTGATAATCTAGAAGAGACTGCTGGTTCTGAGTTGCAGTTAGTAAAGGATGATGAAGAAGATGCCATAAGGATATGTACTAGGGTTTTAGTAAACTTTACAAGAGTAAAAATAGTGTAATGTAGCAGTTAAACAAGTAACTTTTGTAACTACAAATGTTAGGTAACTATAACATGTTGCATAAAACTAGATCAGTATATGTAGGATATAAAGGTTCTAGTAAGTTTCCTATTGAGAATAAAGTAGTTCTAAGGGTATTGATTAGTATCAGAAACTTGAATAGGTGTAGCCTTGAAGATGTTCCTGTGATACAAAATGAATTGCATATGCAGAGAGTTTAAATAGGCAAAACTCTTAATTGGCTTGCAGATATGACATCTAGTATAAAGCTTATATAGCAATGTATAAGTGAATTACTTAAATTAGACACTAAAAGTGCACATGTGGTTAGTTGTAATCTCCATTGTAAGGTAAGCCCCTAGTAACATATCATTTTCTATATACTTGAATAAACATGTTGCATCCCAAAAATAGAAACTTTAACTTAAAAAAAAAAAAAAAAATCAAATATATTAATTAATTAATTTATTAATAAAGTTCTGTAATTTAATTTAATTTAATTTGATTTGATTTGATTTAATTTGAAAATTTATAATTAAATATTTAATATTATAAGTTATTTATTCAAAATTTTATTAAGATAATTAACTTTTTTATTTTATTAAACTATAAGTATTTATTGGATCAACTGTAAAAATAAGTACAGAAGGTTCTAAAAGGTTTATTTTAAGAATAAAATAATTTTAAGGTTGAGACAATAATTTGAACATAATTCAGTAATATTAATACAGATTACAGATTCAGTGGGTTTAAAGTAGAATACTTAAGTAAGGGTGTTAGATATAACAATTGATAAGGAACCTTTAAGTAAACTTCTTAAATAGGTAATATAGAAAAATTACATGTATAACCAATTGTACACTCTTTCTGTAATGGTTTATAAAATCATATTACCAAAAAAGTCATTAATAAAAATCAAAAAGACCAAAGAGGTTACCTTAATATATAAAAAAAAAAAAACTAGAAGTATTTTGTTTAGAAGAACACTTTTATTTAAAAACTCAATATCAATTAATATAGTAAATATTTTGTAAATTAAGTATTTTCTTTGCCAATCAATATTTTAAAATTAAAAAATTTTTTTTTAACTCAAATCAAATTCAAATATTTGAATCAAATTAAATTCAAATCAAAGTATATTTAATTTGATCAAATTCAAATTGATCCGATATTTGATTTGGTTTGAATCTGAGAAACCCTACTTATTAGTATATTAGCCTCTTTTTTATTACATAATTTAAAATTTCGTGTTTATATTCAACAAGAACCAAAAAATAGACGAAAACTTATACAATAGTGATTCTAAATAGTTGATCACGTAAAATTATAGAGAAGTTTGATATACTTGACACCAGAACTTTTGTCTAAAGCTATGCAATGTCTACGACTCAAAATTTAAAGGTAGGACTTAGCTTATATTACAAAATGTGTTGTAGAATTTTAATAAATAATACAGACGTATTAAAAATGTTATCAAAGTGATATAGGTGTTTCTGAAGCTATTGAATCTAATCGTTGATTGGAAATTGCTAATGAAATAGTATTAGTATTTAAATAATAAGAAAGCATTTGAATGGTTTTTAAGGCAAATTGATGTTTCTAGTAGATCGTCAGTGCTGTTTCTGATGGAATGAAAAAAATTGATTTACATACCAATTATTATTCTATTAACGTTAAGAATAATACATCAATTATTAATAATTTTTGTAGAATATTGGTTTTAATAAAATAAGGTCAAATTACATGAAAAAATTAATTCAATGAATATTTAAGTATTTTTAATATAAAAAAAACCTCCAATAGTTTTAGTAGCGTTTTATAAAATGTTACATGAATTATCTGCTATATATCACGTGCACGTATAAATAGTATTTTAAAAATTGTTTGTCACAGTAATTATGTCATATCGATATATAACACAGAACTTGGACCAATCAATGGATTTTTAACCATGCTTCACTAAAATTAATTGCAATTAAATTTTATTATCGTTATATGTAAAATCAATTAAAATTATGTGAAATACGCATTAAATCTACAAATAAAATAGATACGTATCCTAACAGCTAAATCATTTCCTTTCTTATACGTACGTAAGTACGTTGTTACCCGCACATAGTGATAGAAAGTTTTTGTTAAAAAAAGAAAATAAATAAATAATTCGCTTAATCATTTTCAAATAAAAATGACCCAAACCGAAGAAATGCAATTAATAATAGAAACTTTATTCGCAATAATGGGAAAATTATCTTATCAGTATACAAATACTTCAGGGTTTCATAATAAAATAATTAATTCAATTTCTGATAGCTTCCGTACAATAAAGAAATTTACGAAAGGTAAAAATGGAACATTCTCAGAACAGTAGCTATCAAACTTAAAATACAGATCCTAAACAATTACAAGTTTTTTAAAAAAGACTTAGACAATCGCATAATGTATCACGAAATGTTAAAGATAATTTATCGCAAATGTTAAATTCATTTGCTTTAAGTGTATTTCAGTATCTTAAAAAAAAGAGTTATATGATTTATTGCTTTTAGCTATATTTTTGTGTTTGATAATGTAAAATATTAAATCGTGTTTTTCTCGAAACTTAAACATTTATTTACACGTCCCAGATTCTATATGTGCTTGTTACCCACCTTCCTTATTTAATGTCAATTTGATTTAACGCAAAGGCAAAAATTCAAATAAAATAAATATTTTACCTTTACAATATTTAATTATTCAAATCTGTGAACTTTATTCTTGCATATTACTTTTTTAATTTATTTCAAGCTCTACTTTAGTCAGGTAAGATCAATATGAGTTATTTTCAAGTTCAAATCCCTACTGTCACACAATTACTTAACTCTGACTTACAGTAGTATTTACTAGGGTTTGGAACCGTGAAAAATTGTGCTGGCGATTAATCACGTCGCTTAACTATAAGCTACACGATTAATAATCGTTTAACCGTTTATTAATCTTTAACCGACTATTATAATAATTGTTCAACCGTTGACAGTTTATTAATCGTTTAGTTGTTTATTCGTTTGTCCGTTTGATCATTTACCAATCGTTTAATCATTTAAACCAGCGTTGTTAACTGGAAACACTGGAAGACCACTGGAACTTTTACTATTAGAAATTTCCACTGGAAGGCTAGAAATTCTCACTGGAAGCCAAAATTAACAACACTGATTTAAACGTTTATTAATAGTTTAAAAGTTTATTGATCGTTTTATCAATCAATTATACGTCGTATTACATATTAATGACCCAATGCTTTTAAGTTTCTAATGATACTTTGAGCCGACACCACAAGGCAACGAACTTATACAAGTTATCAGGATTATATAAGTTTGTGCTGTCCGTTTTTTTAATAAAACTTACCTTATGCTAGCGATACACATTTTTCCTATGAGAAAAATCCAATTAATAACATTTTGTTATATAGATATTTACAGTACATGCTATTTACAATGCGCATATTTTTTTGTCTAAATAAAGAATTATGTTGAACACATTTTTTCATACCAGAGATCAAAGTCGTTTAATGTATTTCTGTAAACAATAAACACTTTCAATTGTATTCATAGTATAGAACATTATTAACTTGGGATTTCATTCTTTTTTTTTTTTGATAAACTTTAGAATTTTTTATTGAATCAAATCATTTTATGCATTCGATATTAAATCGTCAGAATCGGTAATAAAAATTTTTGCATGTACTGAATCTCTGACACCAAGATCTCGTGTAACTTAACTAAAATTCGAAGAACAACAGAAAATCGCAAATAACACAAGATTTTACTATGGTAACCACAGTTTGACTTCTAAATAAAAGTTTTTAACACAAAATTTTAGTTACACGAGAACATTTTTAATATCGAATATTAAGTAAATTAAAGCCTGCGCTAAATTCCGATCTTTGTGCTCTTTCGATTTGGTAAGTGTCACAGATTCAGTACGTGCAAATTTTAAATAGATTACGTAACTGATCTTGGTGGTCATGCTAGGGTCGTTTTCTGCCATCGCTATAATGAAATTCCTATATGTCATGGTCTATAATTTATCAATCAACCCATTCGGAACACTAGTTCAAGATAACAAAGTAGAGCTATTTCTTGATTATTTAATGAGCTCGACAAAGAATTTGATTAAACACCCTTAAACTTATCGGTCATCATTATGGTCATCGTTACCACCCTTCGAACATTACTTTTTTAAGAGTTGGAATATTTTTCATCAAGCATAACATAAAATCTTATAATCAAAAATCGGGAATTACTTTTTTGTCTTCACTGTTATTTCAATAGTATTATATATTGACGTACGTACAAAAAGCTATTCTTGCATAATTTATATAATTTGCAGAGGTTCGGATCACATTATATAAGCTATACAATGTCATTGCAAAAACCTATTGTAGATTACTGGAGTGGCCGCCCTGGCTAATTTCTATGCTATAGTGCATAATATACAGCATAATTTTGCATAATTCGCATTTTACCACATAGGCATTCTTTGAAATGCAAGACGTTATCACATGATAAGATTAGTTTCCAAACAATAAAATGTTGGACATCGTTTCACAGTACTAGAAAAACCGATTTAATGTTTAGCAAAAGTTATTTTAAGCAAACAAACGTACAAAATGGAAATTATAAATTTGCTATTTTGCTTATTTAGCCAATAATTTCCACTTCCTCTCGAATCGAAACTCATTTAAAAAAAGATGGATTTTTCATCTAATTATTTCGCCCAATCTATATTACATTTTATAAATTATATGTGGAAAAAAAGGATTAAATTAACCCTTCTTCTTGTATTTATCGTCACCATTTTCATTTTCAACATATTAAATTTTTGGAATCGTGATGATGTCGAAAACTTTCTCAGTTTGAATAAAAAATCATCAACTTTTTACAATGAATATAGTGTGAGTTACGCAGTATATAAATTTGAGTTTAATGCATGAGATATCACTTAAGGTTAATTATTTAATTTACTTTTTAGAATATAAACATCACGTATACGAAGCGACCAATTATAAAAGAAGGAATAGTTGACCCGAAAGCACTTTATGATTTATTTGACATGATAAACAATGATAAAATAATTAATAGCATATCCGACGATCTAAATAATGATTATTCTAATGACGTTAATTATGATTTAAAAATTAACCAAAAATATTGTGGATCAAATACTTGTAAATTCTTATTCTCATATCGACTTCCAGAACAAGAAACTCGTGCAAATTTTCATTTTCAAACAATGACTGAACTCGCAGAAAAACTTAATCGTACAATGGTTTTAACAAATGTTGGACGATCTAGGATAAGTTCTTGTAATCAATTTCCTTATAATTTTTACTATAACTTAGATATATTACAGGAAAAATTTCCAAATGTGAAATTCATATCTCAAGCAAACTTTCAACAATGGGCTCATGAGCGTCACAAAAAACCGGATGTGTTCCATGCATACATTAATACTGACAAAACAAACGAGCCAAATACTTTTGGATTTGTAGAACCTTTTGTAGAAATATTATTAAATAAACATTGTTTCAATCAATTTCAATTAAACATGGATGATAACATGAGTTTCAAACATGTCAATATTGGACCAACGGGGTTATGGAAAACTAAACATAAAAATTCTATTATGTCAAAATATTTGATTTCACAATTAAATATGAGTACAGATGTGTTATTGATAAATCATGATCTTCGATCTAATTTATTTCTAGATGGAAAAGAAATTTCACCAGTGCCATACGCAAATCATCTTATTAAAGCTGCTAATAAAGTGGCAGACGAGCTTGATTCTTATATAGGAATTCATTGGCGTATGGAAACAGGTGTAACAAAGCCGTTGACTCAATGCGCAAATAAGCTTGTGGAATGGGTTAATAGAATGAAGAAGACTGCCAATATATCTAATGTTTATTTTGCTACGGATTATCCAATAAATGGTATGGGAAAAGCTCAATCTTCCACGTTCCATGTAGTAAAGAAAACACACCACGATGCTGTGAAAATTTTGAATTCCTCAATGCACTTGAATACTTGGATGTCTACAAATTCCTTAGAATATCTTGAAGAAATCCCAGAATTAAGTGAAATACTCAAACAAGAGTTTGAAGGACCAGGTGTACAAGGAATTATGGATAAATTGATCTTAATTTTATCAAATTATTTTGTTATTGGATCGGAAGGTTGTTGTAGGGTTCATAGCTCTTTTACTGGTAGAGTTATTCGATCAAGAATGGCAATGATGAAAGCTGGGAATCCGAGGATAAAAAATATTGTGTCGCATTGGTAATTATATCACAAGAATTTTCGGGAATGTGAAATAACTAAAATATTAGTATTTATATCTTCATTAATGAAGAATTAATTATAGAAACCTCTCTAATACATCTTTCAGATTGAATACAAATGTACATTTAGAGTCATCCGTATAATTGTCAACTAATATAATATCAAAATATTATGTTTAATTCAATTGTTGATTAATGGATTAAAACCATTTTTCTACTAATTTTGGACTTGAATTGTAAACGGGAACGAAATTTATATTTTTTATTAAATTTAGAATTTGACGGAAATCAAGGTTAGGGTTTTAATTTCTACTTTATATAGCTTATATAACTACTAGTCGTGTACAAAAAAAATTTAAGAAAAGTGACTTGCGTCCAATTAAAAAATTAAAACAATCAAATAAAAGCAAAGATTTATGATAAAAATTTATTATTAACGTTAGAGTTATTAAGCTAGAATGAGAATACAGTATACCAAAATTCTCGGGAACTTTTTTTTGTAAAGTGCAGAAAGTAATATTTTGAGCGGATTTGATTGTTACGTTACATCGATCTTCAAATTTTATTGGCCGTAAAATTTTTCGAATATACTTGACATCTTTGCATAAAATCCAAAAAAAATTAATCCATTACAATTTAAGAGTTTATATTAGAATCAAAAATATCTATATGCATTATTCGATACTAGAAAAATATTAACTTCTAACTATTTAATAAAGTATAAAGAGGACCTAGTATAAAAAAAAAGATAATACTATATAGTAATATTTAATTAATTACAATGAACTAAATAATATGAAATCACTATTCTAGCATAAATTTGTTCTAACTAATTAACTATAGTAGAAATAATGTGTTCTTTCTAAATGTATTCTTGCTTAGTCAGAATATTCATAATTATATTAATATCTTTAATATAATTTTCTAAATTAGGCCATACTAAATCAATTAATTGATTTTCATAACGTTCATTTAGAGCTAGAAATGGCTTTCACGTCGATTTTTTTGCTAGTGAAACGTTACGTTCTCAAAAAGTACACAAATAAGTTACCCGGGCAATTGATAACATCAGCCATCAGACGAAAGTCCTCCTATGAGGATTTCGTACCAAACCCTATAAAAATTTATATGCGCATGTGTCACGTGATTTGTTTACCGCTACCTGTGGGAGCAACTATATAGTAAATATATCAAAAACTTTTAATAAAAATTATTTATTTATAAAGTAGCAAAAGAAATTGGAATTATTCTATTATTCTATTTTGCCAACATTAATTATATTATAATGTATCTTTCCTTGTAAAAAATGGTGAATATGTAAAGCTCGGTAAAATGTGAGATTATTGCTATTAGATCTCAGAGCCTAACTGTTAGACATCGAAACTTCTTTACCATAAGGAAACAGAATTAATCAAACCATATTTGCTCTTCACCTTTTCTCTTTCCTCAACAACAATTCTTGTAAAAGTACTTGTTGTCCTAGCACAACCTCCTGGACCCTTTAAGAAATATTTTGCATTGATGCAAACTAATTTATCAAGTATTCCGTGTATACCAGATCCTTTAAATTCTGATTCGTATTTTGGGTCGTCTCTAATTTGTGAAAATGCGCCCATTGAAACCCATGTATTGAATGTTATATGATCAGAACTATCGAAACTATTTACAGAACTATCATTTAGTCCAAGTATTTTAATAGCTTCTTTATGAAAGTTAGAAATTACATAAAACGTTTGTGATTGAGGCTTACCGCCATTAAGTGGAAAATCTGTTGCAAAATATACATTCTTGATTCCGTATTGTTTTTGAACGTCTTTTAATGTTTTAACTAATCTTCTGGCACATTCTGGCATTAATTCTGGTTGAGCCTGTTCCATTCTCCAATGAATAGCTATATAAGGCTTTAATTTCTTTATAATTTTCTTAGATTCTTTAATAATATAAGGTGAATATGGAATTGCTTTAGTGATTTGTGGAAACATTTCTTTAGGTGACTTATTTAATATCATGATTACTTCATATTCTGGAGTTTTTAGAGTGTTCGTAACAAAGTTCAACATTACTTCACAGTCCAATTTTCCAATCCCTGTATGAAATTCTTTATAATTCGTTATGTTTAGATCAAATACATCTAAGCAAAAAGATTTTATTCGTTTGCTTCCAAATTTAACTCCTTCATCGACACCCATAGTCTTTTTTTCTCGAACACTTAAAGAATCATTTCTACCGTCTTGAATCATCCATGAATGTTGCGCAATTGGTCGGATTTTTCTTTCTTTTGTCCATTCAAAAAATTTATCTTGTGTTATAAATCGAATGTCTGGATAACGTTTTTGGAATGCTTTTATATCATAATAAAAATCGAACCGATATAGAGAACACGCTCTAACTCTAGAATTTCCAACGTTTACTAGGACTAATGTACGATTTAGTGATCGTGCTAGCTGTGTGTAAAGGCGAGTATGAATATTGGCACGAGTCTCTTGTTCTGGGTGAAAATGTGGAAACAAGAATTTACATATTTTCTCTTGACAATATTTTATGTTGATCTTTTCGTCCTCTGTTAGTGGCGTTTCAAGAGATGAATTAGTTGTATCTTCTTTAACTGCATTATCTTCAATTGTATTCTCCTCAAATGTATTCTCTTCAGGTGTATTCTCTTCAGGTGTATTCTCCTCAAGTGTATTCTCCTCAAGTGTATTCTCCTCAAGTGTATTCTCCTCAAGTGTATTCTCTTCAAGTGTATTCTCTTCAGGCGTGTTCTCTTCGGGTGTATTCTCTTCAAATATATCCTCCTCAGGTGTATTCTCTTCAAATAAATCCTCCTCAGGTGTATTCTCTTCAAATATATTCTCCTCAGGTGTATTCTCTTCAAATAAATCCTCCTCAGGTGTATTCTCTTCAAATATATTCTCTTTAATTGTATTCTCCTCAATATACTTATTAATATTATGTATTGCCTATATTTAAACCATTAATTTTTAATATATTATCTTTTAAAATATTTTTAAGAAATGCTTTACCTTATTCGATTCTGTGGACTCTAGTTTTATAGTAATATTGACAAAGTTCCATAATAAGAAAATTAATATAATAATAAATATTGTTTTTTTTGTAAGTCCAAATGTTATAGCTTGTAAATAGTTAAAATTCGATGGCATTTTTTTTTATTATTATTGATATATGTTTAAACTTTATCATATGCGATTTTTTGATATACTTAACGGATATTTTTCAAAGAAAAATTTCAATACACGACTAGTATAATTTGTAAATCCAATTAAAGAAACCAAAAATTAATTTGTTTAAAGCTGAATTAAGGTTAGTGTTTAAAGTTTGGGTTATGGTATAATTTATACTGAAATTTAACAGAGTTTTTTTTTTTGTTAGAGCCTCAAAGGGCAAAAATTTTAATTTATATATGAGTGACAAAAAGGGGAAACCTGTGAATCATTTCACTCATTGACGTTGAGTACAAGTTTTTCCTTTTCGTCACTCATACCTGCGTTTCATACAAATGAAATTCTCTAAAAAATTTTTTTATTTCTGGCACTCGTAAACGCGTTAATTTATTTAAAACGAATTCAAAATGGTCATGCCGAAGATGGTGATCACCGGAATGAAGATCTTTTATAATAAAACAGTATTATACATGAAAAATTATAATTTTAGTATAAATAATTTTTTAAATGATATAATTATAAATTTTATGAACTAATGCTTTTATAAAATATTCTTTTGAATTGATTAAATTTTTTTGAAAAGCTTCAGTTTTGATTGAGAAATAAAATTTTGAAATTTTATAAGCTCTACTTATAAAAGTTTAAAAATTTTATTTCTCAAACTGAAGTTTTTCAAAAAAATTTAATCAATTCAAAAGAATATTTTATAGAAGCATTAGTCATATCATTTAAAAAATCATTTATTACTAAAATTTTAATCTTACATATCGTAAAAATTTTAATATTTACTATGTCTTATTGGACTGGAGTGGAAGACCTTTCCCTACTCAACTAATTTGAGACGATGTCCGGCTCTCAACCCTGTAATGATGAGCTATATTTGGCCCCCCGCAAAAATTTTAATAGAAATCTGAGGTCATCGAAAAAAAATAATAAATAAGCTTCACTAGAGCAAACTGATTAACAACTTATTGTATTAAAGCGCAAAAACGTAAAAGAATTTATACGCCCGAACAAACGGCTGTGATAATGATGCTAGAAGACAAGTTTTTATGACACCTACAAGAATGGTTAGGTTATCGAAACATAAGATCGTCACAAACGTCAAAATATTGTTAAGAAAATAAGCCCGAGATGAACGTAATATTGTTTATCAAATCTAATGATAAAAATCGCAAATTATAAATAATAAATTCTTGCTGAACTTTCTTAACTCAATCAAATTAAAGAAGCTCTAATTGCGCAAATTTTTTCTATGTTAACCGTTTAATTATATTAATATGAACTTATGGAAATCTACTACTTACAATTAACAATAAGTAATAGTTCTATCCCGAGCAGTTGGGTATAAGTGAAATTTTGCAGTAACCGCGTAAGCAGCCGATCATACTTTACCGAAAAATTTCGCTTATATGCAACTGCCTGCCATCCATGTAACATAACTTTCACGTACTTATTTAGAGCGAAACCTTTCTTTTACAGATTGGTTTTGAAATTTAAGATTGAAAAGGATATTTACTCAATTGCATAAGTTAAATAGATATATGTCCAGTAGAAATAAGTACATGAAAAAAGTTGCATAGATGGGGGATAAATAGTTATATCTTATGTAGTTGGATACATGCAAGCGAAAATTTATTGGTAACATAACTGAGCGTAAGCAGCCAATACGGTAGTTATACTTACCAGTAAATTTTCGCTTATACCTAACTACCCAGGATACATATGCTAACAGAATAACTTTTTTCTATATATATAGATAATATAAGTTAGTACGTACTACGTATATAATTTCATTTTCACCTATGTACGAAACGCCGGCTTTTTATTACTAGTTATAGAAAAGATCTTCATTCCGGTGATCACTGTCAGGGGAATGTGTTGCAAAAGGAACTCTGATCAAACAAATGTAGTACCGCAAAAACAAATAAGCAATATCCCAATATCTATCAATACAGATTTGGTTATTTCAATAAAATTAAAATCGATTTTATATTAGTTATTGAGATACCATCGTTCAAAGGTTGGAAAAAACTTACCCGCGGTCTTTGTTTTGATAATCGCCTAAATTGTTTTGAGCTTTGAGCGATGATATCTAGATAACTACTCGTTTAAATCTATGAACTCTTTGTTATTTTGATTCTGTCAATTTATAGAATTAATATATATATATATTTTTTATCAAGTTTAGATAACAACTGCTGAGATATCATCGCTCAAAGTTCAAAAAAAATTTAGGTAATTAGCAAAACAAAGATCGCGGCTGTTTTTTCCAAACTTTGAGTGATGATATCTCAATAACTGCCTATTTAAAATTGGTGATGTTTTTTTTTATTTTAATTCTATTATTTCATATAATTAAAATAAAAAATTTTTATCGATTTAAATAAGTGGTTATTGAGATATTTTCTCTCAAAGTTTGAAAATTTTCATACGGCATGAAAACTTAGAAAATTTTCTAACTCAGGGGTCGGAACGACCCTAGCGTCGCCCTCAAAAAATGGTAGCCGGACAGATCTGCCGGATACATGTTTTTATGTGATTCGGATT